GATTTTGAACGACATGCTATACTATGACTTTTTTTCAGGATTTTGGACGACATGCTATGCTATGACGTTTTTTTAATGATTTTGAACGACATACTATACTACGACTTTTTTTCATGATTTTGGACAACATACTATACTATGACATGTTTTTTTTTAATGATTTTGAACGACATGCTATACTATGACTTTTTTTTCATGATTTTAGACGACATGCTATACTATGACTTTTTTCATAATTTTGAACGACATGCTATACTATGACTTTTTTTTCGTAATTTTGAACGACATGCTATACTATGACATTTTTCATGATTTTGAACGACATGCTATACTATGACTTTTTTTTATAATTTTGAACGACGTGCTACACTGACTTTTTTCCCATGATTTTGAACGACATGCTATACTATGACTTTTTTTTCATAATTTTGGACAACATGCTATACCATGACATTTTTTTCATGATTTTGGAAGACATGCTATACCTTGACTTTTTTTTTAATGTTTTTGGACGACATGCTATACTATGACTTTTTTCATGATTTTGGACGACATACTATACTATGACTTTTTTTCAGGATTTTGGACGACATGCTATACTATTACTTTTTTTTCAGGATTTTGAACGACATACTATACTATGACTTTTTTTCATCATTTTGAAAGACATGCTATATTATGACTTTTTTTCAAGATTTTGAACGACATGCTATACTATGACTTTTTTTCATGATTTTGGACAACATGACGTGGTTTTTTTTTATGTTTTTGGACGACATGCTATACTATGACTTTTTTTTCATGATTTTGGACGACATGCTATACTATGACTTTTTTTAATGATTTTGAACGACATACTATACTATGACTTTTTTCATAATTCTGAATGACACGGTATACTATGACTTTTTTTTCGTAATTTTGAACGACATGCTATACTATGACTTTTTTTTATAATTTTGAACGACATGCTACACTATGACTTTTTTTCCATGATTTTGAACGACATGCTATACTATGACATTTTTTTCATGATTTTGGACGACATGCTATACCATGACTTTTTTTTTCAAGATTTTTGACGACATACTGACGTTTTTATGAGTTTTGACGACATGCTATATTATGATGTCATGATATTTTTGACAACATTCGTATTTTTACAACCATATTATACGTTTTTTAATAAAACATGTCGGCTTCCACATTATAACAAAATATTTCAGGTGTGATCATGAAAGAAAAATGCTCAGTTTCTGTTGAAAACATGTCATTTGTGCTGTGACATCATCAAATGTGTCGAGTATTCCCTCAGTCAGATTTTAAACAGAGTAAAGATGGCTAATGCTTAGTTCTTCCCCTCAGATTTAACAAGACGAGGAAGTGAGGACAGCCAAGATGGCCGCCTGGATCAGCTATTTCCTCCTATATTACATCACCTCTCAGCTTTCACTGTGTAAATTGTCTCCACCTGTTTTGTTCTTCAATGCAGTTTTAAATAAAGTTGTATTCTGTATAAAAACATGTTTGTAGTTTGTTCTAACGGTTTCACAGTGTCCTCACAAACGTGTCTTAATAAGCCTCTGTCCTGACAAACCAGTCTCAATAAACCTGTGTCCTCATGAACCAGTGTGTCCTCACAAACCTGTGTCCTCACAAACTTGTCCTCCTAAACCTGTGTCCTCTCTAACCAGTCCAGAGTGTCCTCCTAAACCTGTGTCCTCTCTAACCAGTCCAGAGTGTCCTCCTAAACCTGTGTCCTCTCAAACCAGTCCAGAGTGTCCTCACAAACCAGGGGCTCCTGATCACCAATGTCCACAATCCAGCGTCATCATAAACCAGAGTGTCCTTACAAGTCATAGTGCCAGACTGTCTCCGAGTTCTTACTGGATGTAGACCTGTGACTAACACGGCTCTGCTGAAGACGAACAGAAGAGACCGAAGATGATCAGGTTTGATGTGGTTAAAGATTTTTAATAATATTGAAATACAATCAAACAGGCATAGTTCTGTACAAACAATTTGTGTTAGTGCGAGCTGCAGAAACATGATCATCACATAAATGATTATTCGTACCGATTTGTCTCCAAAACACATTTAAAGGATTCTGCATTAAACAAAACTTTAATGTGAGGTGACAGACGGTGACCATGGAATCAAATACTCAATAATCAATTAAAACGTTCTGGATGTTTGAACGTTGGTTAAATGTTTGCACACACAGGTGGACTGCCAGATGATTGACAGATGAAATCATTAGTTTATTATTTTCAATTTTTCCTTTGATAGGAAACTCGGCGGTCTCCATGGAAACAGTTAATGAGATGTGTTTACATGTAAATGTATGTCAATAGGCAGCAGGACGAAAGATGAGTCGCTCTAATGAGCCAATCAGAGGAGAGCTGATCTGATTGGTGATTGATGGATTGATCAGATGTTCTTACGGTGAACAAACCAGAAACACAATGTTTACAGTCCGTCTTCCTCCTGATGATGAAACCTCCTAACTACAAACCGTCACATTAATACCTCCTATCTGCAGGTCCTGGGGGCGGGGCTTAATGATGTTGGCTCTGGTGCCCCCTCAGAACTAACTTTACATTTTGAGCTCCACTGCTGGTCAGAACTGTGGAACTCTGTCCACTGAGAAACAAACACTCTTATTTTGGTTTCCTGAAGTGAGTCGGATCCTCCTGTCGCCCCCTGCTGGACGCACCCGCTCGTCTCTGTGAACAGAAACTCTTCAGTTGTTTACATTCCTGTCGCTGAGTTATTTAATGAGCTGTTGGGATTTAATAATAAATATTAGTCATAAAACAGTTATGGTTACATTATATTTACATGTTAACGTTTTTATGATGTCATGTGGGTGTAATTATCAGCCTCTGATTCATCACCATGCGAGTCTGAACCTCCACCCCCAAGTAGCAACTGTCCAATCACACCTTAGCAACCGTTACTCAGCCTGTGCAGGGGCGGAGTTTTGACTGGTCACATCATTTTATCAACTTTTCAGAAACAACAGTGAAAATGTGAAGAAGACATGAAACAGTGTGAGCTGCTCGTGTTCTTGTCAGGCTCAGTTGCCTCTGACAGCAGTGACCCGGCGTTACCGAGTCCAGGAGCTGAGAGAAAAAGCTGTTATTTGGTTACTCTGATAAAATCTAGATTCCACACTGAAACGTCGGAGGCGGCCCTGAATGCATCCTGACTGAAACCCAGTAACTCTCAGGTGAGGTTAAAACTGATTCTGCCACAGAAACGTGCCGTCAGGACGTAAAGCCAACTTCAAACGTGCCGTCATTGCATACAGAGTCAGAGGAGACTCGAGAGGGCGGCGCCAACGGAGGCAAAGACCCGAGTTTGAAATGTTTCAACTAGTTCAGCTGAAAGTGAAGCAGCGTCGTCGTGATCGTCCCATCAGATGTTTACATCAGCGGCAGTCGTGTGATTTGGAGGTGTTAGACAAGTTTTAATGTTTACAGTTATAGGTGATGTCATGTTTCTTTGGACAGAACACGGATGGATAAATAACCCAAATAAACAAACTGTAAACAGACGGATGGAAACAACAACATGAGGAGGAAATCCAAACACTGAGCTCAGCGTCTGAAAATAATCAGACTAAAGACAGTAGATGAAACATCTCACACTTCCTGTCTGTAGAGTCAGTTTGACATCCCGCCTGAAAACGTCACACTTTACTCTCAGCGTCACAGTTTGTGATGTCACAGCTCACGGTCACAGAACAAACACACTGTGATCCCACATGACATCACAGCGGCGTCAGTTCAGGCCTCTGCTGAAAGCTCAGGATGAGTCTGAATTCAGACAGGAAGTAGAGACAACAAACAAACAACAGCAGAGTCTGTTGGCATGGCGATGTGTCAATCTGTTCTTCCCATGATGCTTTGTGTCCGTTTGTTTTGATATATGAATATTAGAACAGTCTAAATACATGAAACAGTGACGTTATGTGGGCGTGTCTCTGCAGTGAACCAATCAGGTGTGGGCGTGTCTCTGCTGTGAACCAATCAGGTGTGGGCGTGTCTCTGCAGTGAACCAATCAGGTGTGGGCGTGTCTCTGCTGTGAACCAATCAGGTGTGGGCGTGTCTCTGCTGTGAACCAATCAGTGACAGTGAGAACAAACATTTGCTGCGCAAGTTAAAACATTCACATGAATAAAATCACGGCGACGCCCAGTCACAGTTCCCATGATGCTTCACTCTGTGAGTCCAGCTGGTGTTGAGCGTCTCCGTCTTCACAGTTTGGATCCAGGTTGTGGTTTCAGTCTCAGTGTTCTGCTGGTTCTGCTCCGCCTGTCTTTCGGCTCTACTTGGTTCCGGTCCAGGCTCGGTCTGAGTGAGGCGAGGGAGCACAGAGCTCTGAGTCGGAGTCCGACTCCCCCTCTGCGATGTATGGGTGGACGGTGGCGCAGCGGGCGGCGCCTCCTCCTCCTCTTCCTCCTCCTTGGTGGTCTCCCAGGTTGGCGGAGGAGTAGAAGCTGTTGTTGAGAAAGTCCAGGTTCTCTCTGGACTGGGAGATGGAGAAGCCGCTGAAGGAGCGCTCCAGCTCCTCGTGGTCCACAGACGGGATGGAGATGGAGGCGTCGCTGTCCGGCTTTAGCTCCTCCCCTCCTCCTCCTCCTCCTCCCTCTGGTCTTTCGTTCCCTCGGTCTCCGGTGCTTTGTCGGTGGGATCGGTTCCCACCATGTCTCTCTCCAGCCGGAGGAGGCGGGAGTCGGACCAGTGACCCATCTCCTACTGGACTTGGAGTGTTGCCGTGGCTATGCTGGGAAGGGGGCGGGCCCTGCTGGTGGAGCTGCGAACTGATTGGCTGCCAGGAAGTAGAGGCTGGACAGGTGGGGGCGTTGTAGTTCCTGTGTCCAGTGGAGCTGCTGGAGCGAACCATCTTTGTCACCGCTTGACTCTTCTCATTGTTATCGGCAGGAAGCACCCTGTAAACAACAACAAGTAAACAACCAGTAAACAAACAGGAAGCACCCTGTAAACAACAACAAGTAAACAAACAGGAAGCACCCTTTAAACAACAACAAGTAAACAACCAGTAAACAAACATTAAGCACCCTGTAAACAACAACAAGTAAACAAACAGGAAGCACCCTGTAAACAACAACAAGTAAACAACCAGTAAACAAACAGGAAGCACCCTGTAAACAACAAGTAAACAACCAGTAAACAAACAGGAAGCACCCTGTAAACAACAACCAGTAAACAAACAGGAAACACCCTGTAAACAACAACAGAGTTGATGAATGAGCTTCTGCCGGTACATCCTCGCTGTCATACGTCCCCGGAGGATCTCAATGCTGATTGGCTATCGCTGTGTGAATAGGTCACTGAAGTTCATATTTTTCAACTCACGACGCAAAATTGTACCACTTAATTCACAAATTTTGCGTCATGTCCACTGCAACGCCGCCCGGTGGGGATTCACATCTAATCACATCTTTACATTGACTTCACATGTCATTCACTCATGTCAACAAGCAAACAAACAACAACACCCTGTAAACAACAACACCTTAATGACAAATAAACAAACACGAATCACCCTGTAAACATGTCATGTAAACAACATGTAGACAACATGTCATGTTAACATGTAAACAACATGACATGTAAACAACATGTCATGTAAACATGTCATGTAAACATGTCATTTTAACAACATGTAAACATGTCATGTAAACAACATGTCATGTTAACAACATGTAAACAACAACATGCGGTCTCCCAGTGTCGGCGGACACTCACTGTAGCATCTTGGAGATGGACTGGCTCTTTTCCAGGTGATCCACCGGACTGTGGTAGGGCGGCGCCGGGTCAGGCTCCTTGGATCCAAAGTAGGCGTCGGTCTCGGCCTGAGGGATTCCCATTCGCTGGATGTAGATGTTCACCAGGAAGTCCAACTTTCTCTCCATGGACAGGACCTGAGGGACACAGGAGCAGAGGACCAATCAGATTCAAGATTGAAGCTGCATCAGAGAAACCAGCAGAGCTTTTGGTGCTGCTCTGCTCAAAGTGTTTTTGGCAGCAGACTGGTTGCCACTGGTTACCTGCTTCTCCACCTTCCCCAGCCGGCCCATCATGCTCGGGTCCTCAGGAAGTTCCTCGCTGGCTGTTTTGGGACGGTCCTTGTCTGCGATTGGTGTCCCTCTGCCGACTATCTGATCCACCCTGCCAATTAGGAGACAGCATGAGTCAGCTCCGGGACACCGGCCCCTGATTTCACCACTGACATGAGTTCTATAGATTAAACTTTTTACCACCGTGTGTGAAACAGCGAGGCGCCTCGCTGCAGGACGTCCTAAAGGTCATGAATGTGTCATATTGTTTCTGTTGGTTTATCATTTTAATTTTTTCTGTCTCACTTCAGTTTCCACTCCACACACACTTTTATACTTTGCCCACCAGGTGTCAGTGTTTTTCCTCCTGTATGCAGGTTTTCTTGGTTTTGAGAAAATATATTTTTCTGTTTGACATTGTTTTCTGGTGAATTTTAAGAGCTGCTTGATAATGATGTGAATATATTGTGATGTCAGAGTGACGTATTTGGACCTGAAGGAGACGATGTAGTTAGACACAGGACTGTTAAACATCGCCGGGGGAGCAGAGCTGCAGAAATCTGTGTCCAGTTAATGTGTCGTATTGTTTCTACAGGAGTCAATAAATGCTGTGAAACATCATCTGTCCAGGCCCCGCCCACACACGTTACACAAGGAAATATTAAGGAGATCCTGGATGCAGGGTCTTACCTTGACTGGAGGTTCTTGATGCGGGCGAGCATGTCCAGGTGTCCCGCTGAATACTGTTCGATCACGTCCATGACGTCATAGGGACGAAGACTCTCCTTAAACTTTCTCTTTGACACCATGAAACGCATTATACTGAGAGACAGGAAGAAAACAGGAAGTCAGCGCTCAGGAGGTCTCAGGCTCAGGGTCAGGGTCAGGCTCAGGGTTAGGCTCAGGGTCAGGGCCAGGGTCAGGGTCAGGGTCAGGGTCAGGGCCAGGGCCAGGGTCAGGGTCAGGGTCAGGGTCAGGGCCAGGGCCAGGGTCAGGGTCAGGGTCAGGGCCAGGGCCAGGGCCAGGCTCAGGGTCAGGGCCAGGGTCAGGGTCAGGGCCAGGGACTGATGTGGAGGCTCTCAGACCGTCAGTGGGTCTGGACTAAAACAACAACATCAGATTAAAGAGGGGATGGAGCTCAGAGCTCCGAGGAGTCAGCTGAGGCAGTTCAACATCCAATCAGGATCCTCCCTGAAGACGCATCCTACATATGTCCAACTGGGACGTATAGTGTTTCAACGCTAGAATATTTTGTGTCGACTCTGACATTTCACATTTCACTCTCACTGACACTGCAGAATTGATGAATGAGCTTCTGCCGGTACATCCTCGCTGTCATACGTCCCCGGAGGATCTCAATGCTGATTGGCTATCGCTGTGTGAATAGGTCACTGAAGTTCATATTTTTCAACTCACGACGCAAAATTGTACCACTTAATTCACAAATTTTGCGTCATGTCCACTGCAACGCCGCCCGGTGGGGATTCACATCTAATCACATCTTTACATTGACTTCACATGTCATTCACTGGCGCCCAGAGTGAACACATTACAGTTCCCAACCTGAAACCACCAGGTCCTGAAAAGCCTGATGGGTCGGACCAGGTTCGGGCTGAAAACATGCCCTGATTGCTTGGGTCGGGCAGGGCTGGGGCTGCGGGAAATAAAATATTTTTATTAAATAAATAAATGAATAATATTAAAGTGCAGGGAGAGAAGGAGAGGGAGCAGCCAGGCTCCGGACACTCTATCCGTCCTCCCATTCAGAGCAGGATGCTCTCAGACAGGGAAATACAGAGAGTCGGTGATCACGAATATGTCTTACTGGATTGGTCGAGGCCCGGGTTAACAACGACTGCCATCAGTGCTGTTGACCTACAGGGTGCTGGTGGAAACTGGACTACTGTTAGTCGAAAAAGGAGGAGAGGAAGGCGTGTCCATAGGCAGAAAGGGAAGAGGAAAGGCAAGAGTCCAGCACTGAGAGTAGGGACTTTGAATGTTGGGACTGTGACAGGGAGAGCTAGAGAGGTGGCTGACATGATGCAGAGGAGGAAGGTGGATATACTGTGTGTTCAGGAGACCAGGTGAACGGTAGCAAGGCCAGACGCTTAGGAGCAGGGTTCAAACTGTTTTATCATGGTGTGGATGGGAAGAGAAACGGAGTAGGAGTTATCCTGAAGGAGGAGTTTGTTAGGAATGTTGTGGAGGTGAAAAGAGTGTCAGAGAGGGTGATGAGTCTGAAGCTAGAAACTGAAGTTGTAGTGGTTATGCCTCACAGGTAGGATGTGAGTTAGAGGAGAAGGAGAAATTCTGCAGTGAGTTAGATGAAGTGATGCAGAATATCCTGAGAGGTGAGAGAGTGGTGATTGGTGCAGACTTCAATGGACATGTTGGGGCAGGGAACAGAGGTGATGAGGAGGTGATGGGGAGGTGATGGGCAGGTTTGGCATCCAGGATAGAAGGACGCAGAAGGACAGATGGTGGTAGACTTTGCAAAAAGGATGGAAATGGCTGCAGTGAATACTTTCTTCCAGAAGAGGCAGGAACATAGGGTGACTTGTAAGAGCAGAGACAGGAGCACACAGGTGGACTACATCTTGTGTAGACGATGTCATCTGAAAGAGATCAGTTAGGTGAGAGTGTAGCCAGACAGCATAGGATGATGGTGTGAAGGGTGACTCTGGTGGTGAGGAAGATGAAGAGGACAAAGGCAGAGCAGAGGACGAAGTGGTGGAAGCTGAAGAAGGAAGAGGATTGTGTGGTTTTCAGGGAGGAGGTGAGACAGGCTCTGGGTGGCCAGGAGGTGCTCCCAAATGACTGGACAACTACAGCTAATGTTATCAGAGAGACAGGTAGGAGAGTACTGGGTGTGTCATCTGGAAGTAAAGGAGATAAGGAGACTTGGTGGTGGAGTGAGGAAGTGTAGGAGTGCATACAGAGAGAGAGGTTAGCTAAGAAGAAGTGGGACACTGAGAGGACTGAAGAGAGTCGACAGGGGTACACGGCGATTCAGCGTAAGGTGAAGGTAGAGGTGGCAAAGGCCAAACAAAGTGCATACGACTTGTATGATAGGTTGGACAGTCAGGAGGGAGAGACTGATTTATACAGGTTAGGGTGATTAAGGACAGAGATGGGAAGGTACTGACAGGTGCCACAAGTGTGATGGGAAGATGGAAAGAGTTCTTTGAAGAGTTGATGAATGAGGAAAATGAGAGAGAACAAAGAGTAGAAGAGGTGACCATTGTGGAGCAGGAAGGAGCAAAGATTAGTGAGGATGAAGTGAGGAGGGCACTGAGGAGGATGAAGAGTGAAGGCAGTTGGTCGTGATGATATACCTGTGGAGGTGTGGAAGTGGAGTTTCTGACTAGGTTTTTCAACAAGGTCTTAGAGAGTGAGAGGAGGCCTGAGGATGGAGGAGGAGTGTGCTGGTGCTGACTTTTAAGAACAAGGGAGACGTGCAGAGTTGTGGCAACTACAGAGGGATAAAGTTAATGAGCCATACAATGAAGCTGTGTGAAAGAGAAGTGGAAGCTAGACTAAGAGCAGAGGTGAGCGTCTGTGAGCAGCAGTGTGGTTTCATGCCAAGAAAAAGTAGTGCAGACGCAGTATTTGCTTTGAGGATGCTGATGGAGACGTACGGAGAAGGTCAGAGGGAAGTGCATATGACAGGGTGCCGAGAGAGGAGCTGAGGTGTTGTATGAGGATGCAGATTAAAAGGAAAGGTGAACAAGACGGTGGTGAGAGCAGCCATGTTGTTGGTTTAGAGACAGTGGCACTGAGGAGAGGACAGGAGGCAGAGCTGGAGGCAGCAGAGATGAAGATGTTGAGGTTCTCTTTGGGAGTGATGAGGATGGAGAGGATCATGGATGAGGACATCAGAGGGACAGCTCATGTTAGATGGTTTGGACATGTTCAGAGGAGGGATAGTGAATACATCGGTAGAAGGATGCTGAGGTTGGAACTGCCAGGCGAGAGGCCGAGAGGAAGACCAAGGATTTATGGATGTAGTGAGAGAGGACATGAAGTCAGCTGGTGTGAGAGAAGAAGGTGCAGAGGACAGGGTTAGATGGAGACAGATGATTGGCTGTGGCCACCCCTGAAGGGAGCAGCCCAACATCCAGATGATTAGAAACATGACAGAGACGACCTGAGCGTTAAACATCTCACTTACTCATCTACTGCTGAGTGTGTGCGTGTGTGTGTGTGTGTGTGTGTGCGTGTTACATGTAAAAGTGTCCAAACAGTGCGTTCAGCGTTGCTCGGTTGTTGTCAGGAAGTTGACGAAGCAACCGTCGGTAGGCTGAGAACCTGGAGCGCTCGTCTGGAATGACTGAGACAGAAAAAGTGCTGTTAGAGTAGAAATACTGCTGAAATACTACTGTAACTACTGACACTACTGTTACTACTGACACTACTAACACTACTGTGACTACTGACACTACTGTGACTACTGAAACTAATGTTACTACTGACACTACTGTTACAACTGACACTACTGTTACAACTGACATTACTGTTACTACTGACACTACTGACACTACTGTGACTACTGACACTACTGTGACTACTGAAACTAATGTTACTACTGACACTACTGTTACAACTGACACTACTGACACTACTGTGACTACTGAAACTAATGTTACTACTGACACTACTGACACTACTGTTACAACTGACACTACTGACACTACTGTGACTACTGAAACTAATGTTACTACTGACACTACTGACACTACTGTTACAACTGACACTACTGACACTACTGTGACTACTGAAACTAATGTTACTACTGACACTACTGACACTACTGTTACAACTGACACTACTGACACTACTGTGACTACTGAAACTAATGTTACTACTGACACTACTGACACTACTGTTACAACTGACACTACTGACACTACTGTGACTACTGAAACTAATGTTACTACTGACACTACTGACACTACTGTTACAACTGACACTACTGACACTACTGT